TTTTTCTCTCTTTCTCTTTTTCCTGCAATCCGACGGCGGGCTCTTCGAGATATTCACTCGAATCAACGACCGCCGGCTCTCGCTCCCTGTGGGCGCGCTCTCTCGTTTGCCGGCGCGCTGTGAACAATTGGGTACGTGCACCGCTCTGCGCGCACCCCCGCCCTCGATCGCCTTCATCCGCCGGGCCGAATCAAAAGTTCGGCCCAATTCCGGCGAGCAGCGGAAGACGACCTCCCCACCGTGGGCCCACCGCGCTTAAGGGGTAGGATAATAATAATAATAATAATAATAATAATAAATTGAACGACGTTCAATTTTGAACGGAAATTTAAATCTGCATTCAAACGTGGATTTGAACGCGTACGCGCGTTCACGGCGTTCAAACGGGTAGATAATACAACATCACGAAAGACTATGCCGGTGATGGAGAACAAAAAAATAAACTACACTGAGCAAGGCAAGAAAATGCAAGTCAGTAGACTGTCAACGATCGTCGTCTGCACGCGAATCCCGTCTGGACCGATGAGAAGCTCGTCCGTGTGACCGACTAGTGCCACGTGCCAGTGGTCGGTCTCTCTGGCGCTGCCCGCCACGTTCGGCAGTGAAAGGCTCGGGAGGGTCATCGGGGTCGTCGTCCATAATAAATCTCCTGGCTCTAGATGTCCCAGTGCCTGCGGTTGCTAGATCAACATGTCGGCGGGAATCGCGATGCATAGGCAGACTATCTGCCCATGAAGTCTCCCCCTCCCGGCGTCGATCTATGGGCACGTGTCGGGCCTGCCTGGCTCGTGTAACAACCTCAGGCTCCTCTAAAATAATCGAAGCCTCTCTCAGACCGTATGTCGATGGCGGATCTGTTGCGCCTCCCGCGACACCACCTGTGCCCTCACGTCTGCCAGGCATGCCACCACTATCCCCGTCTCTATTGCCGATCCCAGACGCCACAACATCCCAACAACTCCCGCTTGTGGAAACCCCTTTCAAACCTGGCTGACGACAGGTGCTCGCCGTCGTCACCCGTCTCGTCTCACTCCATGGCCGATCAGTGTGACCGAACAACATGGTGTCCCACGACTCCCGTGCATGGTTGGTAGTGTCTCTTCGTCTATGGGCAGCTCACCTCGGGGTAAGACTGCTGCTCTGCTCGGCAACTACGCTCGGGGGTGACAATGGGCCTGCTTTGTCGTGAGAGGGCGATGCAATACAAGCTCCAGAAGGTAAGCTTGGGCTAGCTGGCCCCCAAGATAAGTCCTGCACGTGAGGCAAACGCCCCTCCGGCGCAGGCCCCATGAAAATATGAGTGTCGATCTCTGTGTAATCCATCCCGTCGTGCACCTCCAACTCTTAAGCAGTCATACAACCAAATGCGAGGGTGCCACGAGGCGTAGCCACATACCTCGACTGCGGCCTCTCCCGTGACGGTGCAGAAGGCGGGACCGAAGGTGCGCACATGCCCTTGCCTACACGCCGCTCTACGACCGGGACATCGCCATATGCACGACGCCTAGAATCCACCGGAAACGGTGCCTGATGTGGCACCACCAGCCCCACAGTCGTGCGAACCACCAGAGTCTGAGGCGCCTCCTGTCTGTCTCCGCCATGCCTGTCTATCACCTCCTCTCAGGGTATAACCTCGCTATCGACCTGTGCACGATGACCCCCCCCAAACATGGACACCGGATCAGCTTGAACTGGCGCCTCCACCCCCCTAACATCAACGTCCCCCATGACATCCTGCCCCCCCCCAGTGGTTGGTGTTATCCCCTCTCGCTGTGCCGATGGCCGAACATCATCAACGCCCATTGACTGACCCGTCGGTATGTCCTCCAGACCCGGGGACATGTGCACGGCACCCTCAACCAAACCCGTGAGGGATACCCATGGCCTCATGCAAAGTGTTATCGGGCCTCTGCTCGTCGCGAGGAGGCTGGTCAGGCACCACACGTGGGTGACGTAGGTCCTCGGGGGGTGCGAACCCGGTCTCCGAGTCGTGCGACCCCTGCTCAACATCCCCTCCCATCCTCGATGCCTCGGCTGTAGCTGCCTCCCCCTGCGTCCCATCGCGATCCCCTGTCGGTGGATCCATTTGGATAGCTGTCTCTATGTCAAGGGGCATCGGCGTAAATGTCCCAAGCTGTCTCTGTCGCTCCTCAACCACAAGACGGGCCAACTCCTGCGTCCTGGGGTCCCCTCGTCCCATGAAGCTCGACGACTGTCAAGCCTATCCAGCCTCTCTGCAGATGTCTCTCTAGGGGGTGTGGCCAGGGACGCCTCTCCCACAACCGACTCTGCCCCCCTCGAAGGTACAGATCCATGCACTCTCTGCGTGTCGGCAGACTGTAGGTCAGGTGACACAGGGCTCTGTCGCTCAACAGGGCTCCCATAACGACCCCAAAACTCCTCCTCGCCCTGCAAATCACCTCCACCGAACAAGTCATCCCTGCTGGTCCGTCTACGGACGTCCTTTGGGTCGCTCCACTCATCAGCCTCATGTGCGGCAGGAGTGGCAGTAGTGGGCCCGCCCCACTCGTCCTCCTGCTCCTAACCCTCGTAATCGTTGTCGTCGTCTCGAGGGTGCGGGCGCAATGTGGCAGCTCGAGTCCCAAAAACCTTTGCAACCTCACCTGGAGGAGCTCTCGACCCACACGGGTCTCGCTGCCACGAACATCTCTGACTCTCTAGCTCCTGCTGCATCCTGCTGTCATCCGTCCCCTTCCACGAGGGCCGAGTCCCAATGCCTCCCTTCATGTCCAACAAGGACTCATCGAGAGTCCACGGTAGCGCAAACAGGCGACCTGCCCGCTGATGAGAGAGAAGGCGGACGTTGGCTGAGATCTCAACCAACTTCGCAACCTTCTCAAACTCGAGCCGGTTACGCTTCTTCGTGTGTACACCCTCGTGGACGGCCCAATTCCTCTCTGCAGGAGAGGAGCACATCCACATGTACATGACATGAAGAGCGATGACCTGCAACTGCGGGACGCACTGTCCCCACTTCGACCACCAGCAAACAGCCTTGTACGTCTCGACGTCGCTGGTGCACCTCTGTGCCTCTCTGTCTCCGTCCCTCCTCCCCCACGCAATCCCCCCCCTCCATGTGTGAAAGTCGCGCAGCTACGCACATGCGGTCTCATACTCGGGGCTCGCTACACTAAACACGGTCTCCGACAGGATGTACACCTCTGCCTCCCTCACTAGGCTCGCGTCGTAGTCATTGACTACGCCCTCTTAGTACCTCAACTTCTATCGGTTAGGACAGAGAAGGTGAGCAGCGGCGTGCCCCGGCTCCGACATGTGAGCGCACCGTGCCTGCACCTTCTGCACAATGAAGCGTGCAGAATCCGTCGGAAGTGCGCGAACCACTCGTGCCACCTCGCGGGTCACATTCTGCGTCCACTGAACAACCCGCGACATGTGCAGCCCTCCACGGTCCAACCTGCGGAGCATGTCATACACAGGCTCCATAATACAGACAAGGATGCCCATGGAATCCCACCAAGGGCCATGTTGCACTTGTCACCTGACCCACCGAGCCAACTGACGAACAGAATGGTCCCAAGGGACAATACCCCAACTATCGCCATCCACCGTCCTCTCCAATGCTGACCTCACTGTCAGCAAATGCTCCATCATTGCGAACACAAATGCAAAACGTGTCTCGCACGGATAAATGAGACCCATTTGCTTGCTCCCCCCTCTAAAGATATGAAGAGCGGTGTCGTGCTCCTTAATGAAGAGCACCACCGCTCTCCCCCGCACAATGATGTCTTTGGACCACGACCTCGAACAGCCGATGTCTGACAACATCTTGTTGTAGACGTGCGCTGCGCATGGGATCCACGTGATCTGTCGATGCTCTGGCCTCTGATCAGGCCCCTGGAGCATGTTTGCCGCGACGACGTACGCCGAGGCAGAGTCGGTGTAGATGACGTTCACCCACCTAGGAGGGAAGTTGTCGAACACATTGATCTAGCGCGCCAAAACATCAGGCGCCCGGTCTCGCTCACCCTCCCTGTTCATCGTCCGGACCATCATCAGCCCACGCGACCCGCCGACAAGGCAGTTAACGATCGGTCTAGCATCGCGTGACTTTTTGCCGTCCGACATGATGGTGGCCCCCGTGACATAGAAAAAAGCCCTGTCCTCCGCGAGATCAGCCACCACATCGTCCACCGTGCGGACAACTGTCTCTATGTCAACAATCTCATTCTCCAAAGGCCACAAAACCTTCATTGGCCCCAGCAAGTCCCTGAAGTGTCGGACAAGGTTCTTCCACGGCTCGCTCCCGAAGACATTGAATGGCAGACGCTGACTGTAGGCAAACCTCAAGAACCTCTTCTTGAACTCCATCTCCCATTGTGACGAGTACGACTCCTTGATCGTATTTTGTCTCAGCCTCTTCTGCGCTCCTGGCCGCACCCCCTCCTCTCTCTCCTTTCTCTTCCCCGTAGGCGATCCCGCCTCGTCTGCACCCACATGCACCTGTGTGCGAGCCGACATGTGCGCATCCTTAAAGTATTGGCCTTGCTACCCCCTGGCTTGCTCACAACGCCCTTCCCTCGCTCCGTCCCTGACGGCCCCCCCCGCGCACCCTCCTCCACGACGCTGTCCATGTCGACCACGTCCTCATCATCCCTCACCTCTCCCAACTCTCCCTCGTCCCGGCGTGGATCCATCGCAGGCGCCGGACCGTGAAGCTCCTCAAACCGAGGCATCCGCTCAAGGATGTTCCTGTCCAGCTTGTAGTCTGTGTTGTAATGTATGTCCACAAGCGCCTTGTCAGTCACTGTCGGACATCCCTTCCCGTGCTTGAAATGGCGCCCCGCCACGTACTGGTTGCCATGGAACTCGCGGCCGCAAAACAGGCACTTCAACATGCGATTCCCACGGAACCTCTCGCCGATATTCTGACCCACGCTGATGTACTTGTACACGCAACACTTCTTCTGCGCCTTGCGGTTCTCATCCTCCCCGGCATCCTCGAACACTCGTGCCTGACTACGTCTCATCGTGGCCGTCCGCCGAGGTATTTCCGCACACAGTCCCGCTGAGGTCTTTCCCACACAGTCCCAACCCCCCCCCCCCCCCTCCCCCCCCCTCCCCGCACAAGGGCCCTAGGTCCGTATGAACGTAGCGCGTTTGAACGTGATTGAACGTGGCCCCGGCCCATATGAACGCGCGCGTTTGGCGCGTTCACGCGGTTACACAGGCTGACGCAACGCACGCTGCCAGCGCAGCATGAACCGACTAATGAAGGCACCGAGTATCTGAGGGCCGCGATGTATCCTGGAAGAGAGGATGAAGGGAGAAGGAGAAGAAAGGAGGAGGAAAGAGGAGAAAGAGGAAGGAAGATGAAGGAGGAGCATCACAAGGGTGAAGGCAGGATTAACGAGGACGAATCAGGAGGAGAGAGGATGCAGATAGAAGAAGGATAAAAAAGGGAGGAGGAGGAGGAGGAAGGCGGAAGACGAGGGCGAGATTACAATCACTGTTGCGATATGCATCTTTTCACTGCGCTGTTTTCTTTTTTGCTGTATAATGATAAATGATTTGGGGAATTTTGCAATTTGCGACTTTTCCCGTCGAGCTTTTTCGACACCACATCCAATCACACACACACAGAGAGAGAGAGAGAGAGAGAGAGAGAGAGAGAGAGAGAGAGAGAGAGAGAGAGAGAGAGAGAGATGGCTGGAATCAGGCAGGAAGGCCCAGCAGGAAGGAGGAGGACGAAAGAAGACATGTTGACAGATGCCATCGAGATTCAAAAGAGAAGGAGAAGCATATGGTCTCGATCAAGATGGATGAGGGAGGAAAAATGAACCATAAAAAAGGATGGATCATGGCACTCAGAATTTGCCACTTTCGGGGAAAAAAAAAAAGGGAACTCATAGCAGAAACTCCATTCATGCAATTGAGGACCACATCATGGAATTTGTCATTTTTGTCAATATTTTGGAAAAAAGAAAAGCAAATTCATGGCAGGAAACGATGATTCAATACCATTCCTGCAATATCGATGACATGCATGAATCGAGATTTGGTCCAAATTGGGGAAAAGGAAAAGAAAAGGAAAAAAAGGCGCCATCAGCGAGTGTTGCTGCACTGTGGTGTCCACTTGTTATCTGTAAAGCTGGGAACTCGGGCTCTGTTTTCCAGCAGGTGCAGCTTCCCACCAATGGAATGGAGCCATCCATAAATGGGGTCTGTGCAGGGGGTAGTGCAGGGGGTGTCTGCTCCTATCAGCACCTCCCCCCCCCTCAACTCCCGTCGTTCGAAAAAGAAAAGCAAAGGCTGCAAACAGTGCAAAGCAATATTCAGGTGCTTTACCAGTCACCCCCAGGCTGGCTGGGCATAGAGAGCCTGATCCTGCCACCCACCACCCCTAAAACAAAAAGAGGGTAATTACGCGGCAGTCACGAAAACAGTTTCAAAATGCACTTCAGGCATTCGCCGGAACATAACACACCCCCACGTGACCCTACCGGACTGGAAACCTAGCCCGCTTTTTTTTTTTTTTTTTTTTTTTTTTTAACAGGAAACCTAGCTTGTATACATTCAACAGTTTCAGGCCTTTTCGCTGAAAGGCATTTTCACACTCAAACCCTGACTCCACTGTAGTTTTCTCACAAAAAAAATAATATTCAAGTGTTTTACCCATCTGTGCCTGATAACGGTCAATAAATCTCTCTTCTGAAACATTACCAAGGGCTTTGTTAGACACTCCTCGGGGACGTGGAATCCACAAGGACGCGCTCGTTCCACCTGTCCATGGGGACAGAATCGAAAAAGAAATGTGAAAACACCACAAGGAAAATTCCTTGTGGCATCCTTGTGGCCCCAGCCAAAATTTCCTCATCTCCAAGGGACCTCGTGAGGTCCCTTGGAGCTCAAGGAACCGTGATTCACGGAGTGGCGAAGACATGCGTCGACGGAGAGTTTTGGTTATTGGGTGGTCCAGATGTGGTCCAGCGGCGTTAGCACGGACATCCCCGCCCTCCAACGTCTGCGTAGTCCCCCAACGTCCCCCAACGGCTACTGTTGGCGGTGGGCCTCCATCGGGTGGCATCGTCGTTTTCGACCGGCATCGTCGTTTTCGACCGGCATCATGTTGTCTCGCTCGCTCGAACAATGTATGCCTAGTCCCCCAACGCCCCCAAACGGCTACTGTTGGCGGTGGGCGTCCATCGGGCGGCGTCGTCGTTTTCAGCCGGCATCAACGGTCAAAAAAAAAAAATTCCCCGGCGGCGCCTTCAGTCCATCCACAGAAGAGGTTTCTTCACAAGCGTCGTATTCCCATGCATGTCGTCACATGCTGCGCATCCGATAAGACTCTTGCCTTCTCCGCCGTCGTGTGCTCATTGCTTCCCTCTCCACCGTGCAGTTCATGGTCGACCTGTACTGCAGGCCTCCTCTGGTGCTCCTCATCGTTGTGCTGCTTCTGGTGGTCCCTCTGCTGCTCCTCGGAGCTGTGCTGCTTCTCGTTGAAGTAGTCATCCGTGGCATCCTTGCATTGTCGAAGGTCTTCCCATGTTCCCCGGTCCTGCGTTTGATCCACCACCTCGGCGTGGCTCGTGGAATGACGCCGCAACCCAACGTGTAGCACAGCTCAATGACAGCCTTTGAAGTTGCCACGTAGTCGGGGCCGTCATCCGCAGCTTGCATCAGCGTCCTTCTTCTACCCGCACGCAACTGCTCCTTCATTCGTCCCAGCGTCATCTCCTCCTGACAACGAAGAATAACGGTTGACACGGCCGCCGCCATGGCTGCCCGCTCAAGCGGTGTCAACATCGCACGTCCGCCCTCTCCGCCGCCCTCCATCGCCACCACCTCCACAAGGATGACGTCTCTCCGCTGCCGTCTCAATCCTCGCAGCCCAGAGACGTAACCCGCTCACCCCGAGGAGAGGTCTGAGAAGCTGCCGCCTTTCCGTGGATGTCGTCCCCCTGGTGGAACAGCGTGTGACGGCGCGAACGATGTGGAGGAGAAGCTCGACAGTGATGGACGCACCCGGTGCACGCACGTAGACTGAGCGGGAGGTGGGCGGAAGGGACGCCGCCACTAAGGCCGATTGTGGCATACTCCGTACCACACGGGCCCAGCAGAGCCCAATCTGGTAGACTAAGGGTCCGTAGGGGTAGGGCCTGTTTCAGGCCTTGCGTCGTTTCGGCTTCCAGCCTGAAAACAACAGGCCATTTTTCAGGCCCTCGCAAGATCGACCTACCTTGAAACTCAGGCACCAGACCGGGGGTTTAGCTCAGGCCATCATGGCCTATTTTGTGGAGCGTCAACCCCAGGGTCTGGCACGTTTTGGTATAGGCACGAGCAGCCTCTCGGACGGGCCAGCACTATATAATGCTGACCCACCCTGTAGGCTGCAGGCAGTTCCTAGGCACTTCACGTGCAGAAGGCAGGAGGTAGTCTTCAGGACTCGGCAGCGGCACTCTGGAGTAGTAGTAGCGATAGCAGTAGTCTTCAGCGCTGGGCGCTAGTACGAGAGAGAGAGAGAGATGGTTGGCGGAGGCCAGGGATACTCACATGTGGCGCCATAGCTCCAGCCTCGTCTTCGAGGTACCTGCAGCACAGCGCCACCTTCCAGGTTAGTATCGGAGAGAGAGAGAGAGAGAGAGAGAGAGAGAGAGAGAGAGAGAGAGAGAGAGAGAGAGAGAG